AATGATGATAATGATGATAACGACGATGTTGATGATGATGTTGCTCATGATGATGATGGTGCCCCAATGATGATGATGTTGTTGATGATGATGATGTCGATGATGATGATGACGATGTTGATGATACTGTTGATGATGAGAACGATGGTGATCATGATGGTGTCCCGATTATGATGATGATTCTGATGATGCTGCTGATGATGATGACGGTGACTGTGTCCCGATGATGATGATGATGATGATGATGATGATGTTGATGATGAGATGATGATGGTGATGATGATGATGTTGTCCCGATGATGATGCTGACATTGATGATGATGATGATGATGTTTATGATGATGATGATGACGGTGCCCTCATGATGATGACGATGTTGGTGATGATGTTGATGTTGATGATGTTGTTGATGATGATGATGATGATGATGATGATGATGACGTTGATTGTGAGAGCGATTGTGACATCGATAGTGAGATCGATATTGAGACCGAATGTGAGATCGATTGTGTGATCGATTGTGAGATCGAGTGTGAGATCAATTGTGAGATCGATCGAATGAGATAGATCGAGTGAGATCGATTGTGAGATCGATCGAGTGAGATCGATCGAGCGAGACCGATAGTGAGACCGATACTGAGATCGATAGTGAGACCGATCGAGTGAGACGTTGGTTCCCCCCCCCCGAACCTCCTTATCACCCGAAGGGTGGTCGTATAGGTACGGCTATAGGGCTATAGGGTTATAGTGCTACAGGGATATATGGCAATTGGGCTATTGGGCTATAGGGATCTAGGGCTATTGGGCTAGGCACCCCCGGGCACTTCTGGGCACCCCGGGCACCCGGGCACCCCCGGGCACCCGGGCACCCCCCGGCACCCCCGGGCACCCGGGCACCCGGCCACCGAAATCGGCCACACACTTGGGCACCCGGGCACCCCCGGGAACCCCCGGGCACCCGGGCACCCGGCCCCGGCCACCGAAATCGGCCGCCCACCTCACCTCAGCTTTATATCCGCTAGGACCCCTTCAGAGGCAAGCTCTGATTGGGGAATGTATGTATGTATGTATGTATGTATGTATGTATGTATATATATATATATAGATAATTATGTAGGTATATTTTGGCTTATGTATATCAGAGGTTGGGGGGTGGGGTCGCAATGGAACGGAGACCCCCAACCGGGAAATCGTTTCGTTTTGTTCGTGTCGTGCGTGCGGGCGAGGCGAAGCTGCGTGGGCGAGCGAGGAGGAATGAACCCGTCGTTGCCAGGGCGAAATCAAGACAAATGATTCTCCCCCGCCCGTCCGGCGGTGGCTCGCAGTGTCCCGCGGTGTCCCGTGGTGTCCGCCGTTGCTAGGGCGAAGTCAAGACAAATGATTCTCCCCCTCCCGCCCGTCCGGCGGTGGCTCGCGGTGTCCCGCGGTGTCCCGTGGTGTCCCGTGGTGTCCGCCGTTGCTAGGGCGAAGTCAAGACAAATAATTCTCCCCCGCCCGCCCGTCCGTCCGTCCGTCCGTCCAGCGATGGCTCGCGGTGTCCCGAGGTGTCCTGTGGTGTCCCGTGGTGTCCCGTTGAGTGAGATCGATACTGAGATCGATGTGGTGCCCAGAGGTGTCCCGTGGTGTCCCAGAAAGTGAAATCGATAGTGAGATCGACAGGTGTCCCGTGGTGTCCCGTTGAGTGAGATCGATCGTGAGATCGATAGCGAGATCGATGTGGTGCCCCGAGGTGTCCCGTGGTGTCCCAAAAAGTGAAATCCATAATGAGACCGATAGTGAGATCGACAGGTGTCCCGTGGTGTCACGTTGAACGAGATCGATAGCGAGATCGATGTGGTGTCCCGAGGTGTCCCGTGATGTCCCGTGGTGTCCTATGGTGTCCCATTGAGTGAGATCGATAGTGAGATCGATCGTGAGACCGATCGTGAGATCGAGAGGTGTCCCACGGTGTCCCGTGGTGTCCCGTTGAGTGAGATCGATAGTGAGATCGCCAAGTGTCCCGTGGTGTCCCGTTGAGTGAGATCGATAGCGAGATCGATTGAGTCAGATGTTGGTTCCCCTCCCTCCCCCCCCCACAAGGGTGGTCGTATAGCTATACATCCTATATATCTATATATTCCCCGTTGATGGCGAAACGAAGCTGCCCCCCGATAGGCCCTTGAAATGTCCAAGTGGGGGCATGGGAGCCACGAGATGGCACACATTGGCCCCAGAATAACCCCGAGAGGGCCTCCACGCGCTTCCTGGGGAGGCTCAGGACAATCCGAGAGGGCCCCAGGATGCCCCAAGAGAGCACCACATACAAAGACCCCGATGCCAAGATTGCC